ACCTCCTCCTCTCGGCTGCTCGCACCTTTGGGAGAACAACAACAATTTAAACCAGTAGATTTGAAATACAACGGTCCCTGGTCCAGGGAGAGACCAGAGAGAGACCAGAGAGAGACCAGAGAGAGGGACCAGAGAGAGACCAGAGAGAGACCAGAGAGAGGGACCAGAGAGAGACCAGAGAGAGACCAGAGAGAGACCAGAAAGAGAGACCAGAGAGAGACCAGAGAGAGAGACCAGAGAGGGACCAGAGAGAGACCAGAGAGAGACCAGAGAGTGAAACCAGAGGTAGACCAGAGAGTGAAACCAGAGGTAGACCAGCGGAAGACCAGAGAGAGACGAGAGCGAGAGACCAGAGAGAAACGAGAGCGAGAGACCAGAGAGAGACAGGTAACTGTCATGTGAAACAGCACTTATATAATGCGGTGTGTTTTATGGTGAGGGACCAGTGAAATATACAGATTGAAACCATGAGAGAGAAATGAGAAATGTAACGTCTGAGAAATTATTGTACGTATGTTTTCTGTTTACAAAGAACAGTCCTTTCTCCTGGTGTGAGTCCACAGGGAGCAGCTCAGTCACATTAATGGGCGCTTGGTGGCTGCTTAACCGTGTTTTTTGACCCGTGTTGAAGGGTTGTGTCAAAGTGGCTTTGGTTGTGTGTGTTAATAACATTTATTAAAAGTCTGACTTGAAAATAAGTCCTCTGCAAATGCACACAGGACCAGAGGATATTTTAGTACACACACACACTACAGGTACACACACACCCCCACACACACTACATACACACACACCAATATATTTTTACCCGCTTTAATGAGACCTCAACTCGAGACACTCTTACCCATGTGTCCACGCAAATACACACACACACACACTGACCCATATGCCCTCCTGGGAAAGTTCTGTCCAGCAACACACTGTAGAAGCATCTTAAACAGCAAGAGAGAGACTAGAGAGAGACCAGAAAGAGACCAGAGAGAGACCATAGAGAGAGCAGAGAGAGAGCAGAGAGAGAGAGCAGAGACAGACCAGAGAGAGAGGCCAGAGAGAGCAGAGAGAGAGAGCAGAGAGAGACCAGAGAGAGACCAGAGAGAGAGACCAGAAAGAGACCAGAAAGAGACCAGAAAGAGACCAGAGAGAGACCAGAGAGAGACCAGAGAGAGAGACCAGAGAGAGACCTCTGCATGTTGAAGCCATTACAGATCGGGGCCTCTCTGAGCTCTTCACTTCTTTCATCTGAAGATTCTGTCACGTCTTAATTACACGGCACTCGCCTTTGGGGGAAACTTGCTTAAACTGAAATGGTTTTATTGGCAGCGGCTGAAGGAGCGCAACAACACCGTGAGGGTTAATGAGGAGGCAAAATGACAGTTATAGTGTGAAAGATAACGAGAGATGGACTAATGAGCAGAGGAGTGGTGAGAGGAGGTGAGGAGGAGAGAGACCAGAGGAAGACCAGAGAGAGAGACCAGAGGGAGACCAGAGAGAGACCAGAGAGAAACTGTAGAGAGACTATGAGACCAGTGTGACCATAGAGAGACCAGAGAGAGACCAGAGAGAAACTGGAGAGAGACTATGAGACCAGTGTGACCATAGAGAGACCAGAGAGAGACCAGAGAGAAACTGGAGAGAGACTATGAGACCAGTGTGACCATAGAGAGACCAGAGAGAGACCAGAGAGAAACTGGAGAGAGACTATGAGACCAGTGTGACCATAGGGAGACTAGAGAGAGATCAGAGAGAGACCAGAGAGAGACCAGAGAGAGACCAGAGAGAGACCAGAGAGAGACCAGAGTGAAACCAGTGTGACCATAAAGAGACTAGAGAGAAACCAAGGAGAGACCAGTGTGACCATAGAGAGACTAGAGAGAGACCAGCAAGAGACTAGAGAGAGACCAGAGAGAAACTGGAGGGAGACTATAGAGAGACCAGTGTGATCATAAAGACTAGAGAGGGACCAGAGAGGGACCAGAGAGGGACCAGTGTGACCATAGAGATACTACAGAGGGACCAGAGAGGGACCAGTGTGACCATAGAGATACTACAGAGGGACCAGAGAGGGACCAGTGTGACCATCTTCCAGTGTGGCCATAGAGAGACCAGTGAGAGACCTGATGTCTGGAATGGGAGCAGAATGCCCACTTTGAAGCTGGTGATGTCACACTCCTGAGTTGATCTTTGTGACAGAGACAGAGATGCGGTAGTTTCCCTCTTTCCGGTGTGGATTAGGGAGAGCCTCCGCCCGGGTGCAAAGGTCAGCGCTAGCATTTAAGCGGCTTAAACGTTAGCGCTGCCGGGTCGCTAGCTCCGGGCCATGCTAGCGGTGCGCAGCAGTGAGCAGTGGGAGTTAAACCCAAGTGCTGTCATTCATCTAATCTGCAGCGAAGCCTTCTATTACAGATGCATTAGTAATACAGAGGATTACATTCAAAAGGCAAACGGTATGTTCATGCGACATCACCACGGTCCAAAGACACCAGAGTTTCACTTTGTGCTGCAGATTTTTGGAAGATGAAAAATGTATGGTTTAGATTTTAGTCTGAGTCTAGAGCAAATTTCTTTGTTATTCCTGAAACTTTGGTCTCTCTCTGGTCTCTCTCTGATCTCTCTCTGGTCTCTCTTTGGTCTTTCTCTGGTCTCTCTCTGGTCTCTCTCTGATCTCTCTCTGGTCTCTCTTTGGTCTCTCTCTGGTCTCTCTCTGATCTCTCTCTGGTCTCTCTCTGGTCTCTCTCTGGTCTCTCTCTGATCTCTCTCTGGTCTCTCTTCGGTCTCTCTCTGGTCTCTCTCTGGTCTCTCTCTGGTCTCTCTCTGATCTCTCTCTGGTCTCTCTCTCTGATCTCTCTGGTTTCTCTCTTTTCTCTTTCTGGTCTCTCTCTGGGGTCTCTCTTTTCTCTCTCTGGTCTCTCTCTTTAGTATCTTTTCCTAGTTTTTCTCTGATCTACGACTGAGGCTGTAGACCCAGGACTGAGGCTGTAAACCCAGGACTGAGGCTGTAGATCCAGGACTGAGGCTGTAGATCCAGGACTGAGGCTGTAGATCCAGGACTGAGGCTGTAGACCCAGGACTGAGGCTTTAGACCCAGGACTGAGGCTGTAGATCCAGGACTGAGGCTGTAGATCCAGGACTGAGGCTGTAGATCCAGGACTGAGGCTGTAGATCCAGGACTGAGGCTGTAGACCCAGGACTGAGGCTGTAGACCCAGGACTGAGGCTGTAGATCCAGGACTGAGACTGTAGACCCAGGACTGAGGGTTCCTCAGTCCTGTTGGCTGCAGCTGTGTTTACTCTCGGGATTTACTGCTATTTTCGCTGCACTTTGAAGATGTATTTTTGATTTTCTTCTGCCTTTTAATGCATGACAGAATATTAATGTTGTTTACGGTTGTAACGCTTCAAAAACATGACTCGTGCTTCAGATTTTAGCTGCGTTCACACTTATCCCAGTCTGGCCTCATCCTGGTCTCATCCTGGTCTTAATGATGACTGTGTTTCTGGGAAGTGGGCAAGGAGAGAGACCAGAGAGAGACCAGAGAGAGACCTGAGGGAGACCAGAGAGAGACCTGAGGGAGACCTGAGAGAGACCAGAGAGAGACCTGAGGGAGACCTGAGAGAGACCAGAGAGAGAACAGAGAGAGACCTGAGAGAGACCAGAGAGAGAACAGAGAGAGACCTGAGGGAGACCTGAGAGAGACCAGAGAGAGAACAGAGAGAGACCTGAGAGAGGCCAGAGAGAGAACAGAGAGAGACCAGAGAGAGACCAGAGAGACCAGAGAGAGACCTGAGAGACCAGAGAGACCAGAGAGAGACCTGAGAGAGACCTGAGAGAGACTATTGAAATACCAGAGAAAGACCAGAGGGTGGCAGAAAGAGAGACCAGAGAAGAGAGGGAGGAGAGAGCTGTAGAAGGGAAAAATGTTGATAGTGAATCTTATTTACATTTTTGATACATTTATTCTTTTCTTAAGTTTTTTCCCACTGCTAAATACATTGTGAATTGGATCCTTATCCTTATAATTCTCTTATAGCAATATCATATTTGGTCTGTGCCTTCAGCCCCAATCTCCCTTTGCTCTGTATGTCCCCCCTCTCTCCTCCCCCCTTCCTCCCCCCTCTCCTCCCTGTTCTCTCTTCCCCTTCTTGTGACTGTTGCATATTTCCTCTGTTTGGTCCTGATCCAGGGCGAGCTCTGCTGTCATTGGCAGAAGAATATACCCAGTTTGAACTAAGCTCTAATCTATTTTTCCCTCTCCTCTTTTCTTCTTCTTTTTTTTCTCCTTCTTCTTCCTCTTCTTCTTCTTCTTCTTCTTCTCTCCGCAGTGAAACGATGCTGCTCCGAGGACAGTAATGGAACGGAACAGACGGACGGATCACTTTGATTTGAAACTTAAATAAACTCAACTTTCAACGCAACCATTTTTCTCAACAAACGGATTATCTGCTTTTATATCAAACGTAAACAGTTGAAGCTCCCACTTGACTTTCCAGAAGTGAAGTTGATTATTCACACATCCTGTATATGTCCCATATTGGGGAAAGTTCAGTGTTGCATCACACGTTACAGTAGGAATGAGGAGCACACGACACAAGAGAAGTCCATCTCTCAGTGATTAAGTAAAGTACAAACTTATACTTACAATTCACATCAAATCTCCCTTTTGCTTAATATAGAAGCAGTAAAAAGTACTTTACTCTAGTGCAAGAATATAAATATGTACTCAACACCTCAGAAGGAACTGAGGAGCACACACACATAAAGTAAATATCAAGTACATCCCTAAACGTCCATCTCTATCTCTTCTCTCTATCGTTAGCTTAACACATTAGCAGTATAGAGTTCTGTGTTAATACATATCCAACACCTCAGAGATCATATCTTTAACCAAGAAGCAGATGTCTCCAAAGAAAATGGACATTTGATAAGTTTTGGACCCGAGCGCAGAATTTCTCCATCTGTAACTTATTCAAAGTGAGTCCAAACAGTGATTTGTGGCCCCAGCCATGTTCTCACTCTGCTTTGGGAAACATCCTGGACCAGGGTTAAGGACAAAGAGAGTGACGGACCTGCTCTCGCTGACTCCGCCCCCGTTCCTCCTGGTCCTGGCCGCGTCCCTGGTCCTGGACCTCACCAGCAGCCAGAAGAGCGACCCTTTAAAACACCCCATCGTCACCACCAACTACGGCAAAATCAGGGGGATCAAGAAGGACCTGAACAACGAGATCCTGGGCCCGGTGGAGCAGTACCTGGGAGTCCCCTACGCCACGGCGCCCATCGGGGACAGGAGGTTCCAGCCCCCCGAGGCCCCCGGGTCGTGGCAGGAGATCCGGAACACCACCCAGTTCGCTCCGGTCTGTCCCCAGAACGTCCACGGGGTCCTGCCGGAGATCATGCTCCCGGTCTGGTTCACCGACAACCTGGACGTGGCGGCGAACTTCATCCAGAACCAGAGCGAGGACTGCCTCTACCTCAACGTCTACGTGCCCACGGAAGACGGTGAGTGCTGGGGATGGGGAGGGGGAGGGAGTGAGGGAGGGAGTGAGGCAGGGAGGGGGGAGGTGAGAGTTCTGTTTTTTGCAGTGCTTTGCAAAAGAATTCATACACCCTTTTTACACGTTTTTGTCTTGTTTACCATAAACAAAAAGGTTTTATTTAGATTTTTGTATTGAAAGTTCACACACAAGTCTCTCTGTTCCCTCTCTCTGGTCTCTCTGTTCCCTCTCTCTCTGGTCTCTCTCTGGTCCCTCTCTCTGGTCTCTCTGTTCCCTCTCTCTGGTCTCTCTGGTCCCTCTCTCTCTGGTCTCTCTCTCGGTCTCTCTCTTGGATGGGAGAGGTGTGTCGACTTGGATTCAGAATGTGTTTTTTGATATATATTGTGTATATTTTGGTCCTACACACATTTCTTACAGACAACACATTTTTCTACACTTCCTCTTGAAAATACTAATACACCTTTTGTCATGTTTACCATAAACAAGGTTTTATTTTGGGTTTTTTATTGAAAGTTTTCACACAATAAACACACAACTTTGACGTTGAAAGAAAATGATAAAGATCCTGGTCTCTCTTTCTCTCAGACCTTTCTCTGGTCTCTCTGGTGTTTTTTGGTATATATTGTGTGTATTTTGGTCCTACACACACACACACACACACACACACACACACACACACAGACGACACATTTTTCTACATAAAATCTCTTGTTTTTCTGCTTCAGATTCTAAGCCTCTGACTCTGGTTTAACTTAATGTTTGTGTATTCTTTCTTTTAATACTTTCTATAAAAGTGTCTTTGCTTTTCTTTTTCCCCCAGTGGAATTTTCCTTCTGTATTTTTCATTTTTGGTACATGATCAACAAAAATCCTGTCTCTCCCTGGTCTCTCTCTCTGGTCTCTTTCTAGTCTCTCTCTGGTCTCCTTCTCTCTGGTCTCTCTGAGGTCTCTCACTCTCTGGTTTTTTCTCTGATCTCTTTCAAATAAACAGAATAAGGCCCTGTTTCGCCCCCGACAGTGGCTCAGTTGGTAGAGTATTGGCCTTTGGGCCTGAAGGTCGTGGGTTCGAGCCCATCCTAAGACCTACTTCACGACTCCCACTGATGTCTGCTGTCGTTATTTCCTTGGGCAAGACACTAAACCCCACTTTGCCTGAAGCCCCCACTGAAAAATCTCAGCTCCGGTGGACTGGGGCTATGTGTACTGGGTGCAGCTCTGACTGCCACCCCCCGACCCAGAAATGGATTACGGGGAAGAAAATGGATGGATGGATGGAGGCCCCGTTTAGACGGAGGCGCTGCACAGACGTTGCCAAGCTATGAACAGAAACGACCAGGCTCCTTATGCAAATTTCACAGCGTTCATATGAGGATCAAAACCAATGTAGTTCTAGCACCTGGACAGTAGTGGGCAGAGGAACTTTACAACACGACACACGCAAGCCCCAGCACCCCCCCCAGCAGTATACTCACTTCCTCTGCAAGACGGGAAAGAACCAACATCATTCTGCATTTTAACAGCAGCTGTGACAATGGAAACTGAAACTAGAGCTTCGCGTGGTCTCGTTTGGACGAACAAAGGAGTAGAATCCTCCTCTGTGCGCTCGAAGCACACGTAGCTAGTTAGTTTACCCGCCGCCATTGTTGCTTTCGTTTGTTCTACTGCGCATGTCCAAATGTACGTGTGGGGAGCAGCGGGGAGGTGGGGGTCAGATCAGCAGCAGAGAATTCACATCTTTTTCCGGGTGTGAAAGAGCCCCCTGCTGAGCAGTGTATTTGAGCTGCCCCACTCTGAGGCTAGATCTGAACAGTCTCCGTATGAACGGGGGGGTAGCAACCGACACCAACTATAGCTTTTTACTGCAGCATTGTCTCTGTATAAACTGGGCCCAAGGCACTTCTCACTTGGGCTTCATTGAGCTAGCGGGTTAGCATTGTCCTTCTGTAAACACTGGACTGGAGAGAGGGACAAACATGTGCAAACCAGGGACGTGCGGTGAGGTTTGTGATTGGGGAGGCACTGACTTTAAAAGTCAGATTTACAATCATTATTCAAATAAAATAGCATTTAATCACCAATGCAATGACATCCACAAACTTTATATACTGTAAAGATAAGAGAACCAGCTTCTTTTAATAATCTCACAACAAATCTAGCTGCTGACTCTGCTCCGCATCAAACAACATCTTTAAGAAGCGCAGGTGCGAGAGACGCGAGGAGAGAGAGACGCGAGGAGAGAGGAGCAGAGAGAGACAGAGACGAGCAGAGAGACGGAGACGCGAGGAGCAGAGAGAGACGGAGACGCGAGGAGAGAGAGACGCGAGGAGAGAGGAGCAGAGAGAGACAGAGAGGAGCAGAGAGACGGAGACGCGAGGAGCAGAGAGAGACGGAGACGCGAGGAGAGAGAGACGCGAGGAGAGAGAGACGCGAGGAACATAAACAATAATTTAAACAAGTTGCAGAACTCTTGAGCAGTGTTTGAATCAGTGTTTTTCGGAAAAGCACTACTTTGCCGGTATCTGTCAATGTTCAACATAAAACACAGATTAACAAACTCCTCCCCCGCAGCCGGACTAACCTCGTAAGTCCAGTGGTGGTCTCCCAGTTATATTAATTCTTTCTTTGTTTGAAAGTCCAATTGAGAAAAAAAATCTTCATTCAAATCATCCATTTTCCAGCAAAAGAAATAGCATTTTGGGCTGATTGTTTGTTAGCAACTCTGGTATGAACTTTATGCTCACTATCACCCCTAGCGGTGAGGCACAGATACCGCCTGCCTCACGCCAAGCTTTTTCCTTGTGTGTTCATCTACGATCAAAAGACTTAAACTAAATATAAATTGTACACACATACGTGCAATACACTACTAAACACTAAGAGGAGTTTAAAAAATGTTTTTAAAGCAGGATATTTGAAACAAACGGTGATATATCAACTGCACGAGCTGAGTGCACTCAGACACACACACACACACTGTGAGGGAGCGGTCTGGGGTGAGGCACGCAGGAGCGCTGCCTCACCTCGTCTCTTTGAATAGGAATAACGGGATTTCGGCGATTTTGACTTCAGAAATGATCAAAACTGATGGGAACCGTGCCGAATATACATTAAAAGCATAGGACAGTGGATATAAATTATATATTTAAACTAAAATAATTATTAGTTTCCAATAATGGCAGGTGAGGCTCTGCCTCCCCTGCCTCCCCTGACTGCACGTCCCTGGTGCAAACGTCTGTGAAAGAAGAATGACATAAAATATAAGAAGGAGATGTTTGTCTGTGGACCAAACTGCACAGATTCTAAAAGGAGGAGAGCATTCCCTTTAGCCTCTGAGGAATAAACCATGAGACACACCATCACAGAGATTACATCAGGACTTAAAAGCCGACTGTGTAATCAGTCACTTTTATTTCCTTTCAAACCTTTTAAAATGTACCCAATTACATCATCTTCATTTAGCCTCTGATGCTTTCATTAAAATGCCAGGACACAACATGATCTCTGCTCTCTCTCTCTGGTATCTCTCTCTGGTATCTCTCGGGTGTCTCTCTGGTCTCTCTCTCTCTGGTCTCTCTGGTCTCTCTCTCTCTGGTCTCTCTGGTATCTCTCTCTGGTATCTCTCGGGTGTCTCTCTGGTCTCTCTCTCTCTGGTCTCTCTGGTATCTCTCTGGTGTCTCTCTGGTCTCTCTCTGCTCTCTCTCTCTGCTCTCTCTCTCTGCTCTCTCTCTCTGGTATCTCTCAGGTGTCTCTCTGGTCTCTCTCTGGCCTCTCTTTGGTCTTTCTCTCTCTCTCTCTCTCTCTGGTCTCTCCCAGGTCTCTCTCTCTGGCCTCTCTTTGGTCTCTCTCTCTCTCTCTCTCTCGGGTCTCACCCAGGTCTCTCTCCCAGGTCTCTCTCTATGGTCTTTCCAAGGTCTCTCTCTCTGGTCTCTCTCTGGTCTCTCTCTAGTCTATCTCTGGTCTCTCTCACGGTCTCACTCTGGTCTCTCTCTGGTCTCTCTGGTCTCTCTTTGGTCTCTCTCTGGTCTCTCTCTGGTCTCTCTCTTGTCTGTATATCCATAACCACACAGATGTATTGAATCCATGATGCATATGTAATCATTCTGGTATTATGTGCTCTGGTCTCCGAGAGAGCTGGTCCTTGCCCGGAGGCGGGCTCAGAGAAGGGAGGGGGCAGGGCTACATCAGTTGCCGTGGAAATGACATCCCATAAATCACAGCGCGGAGGTTTCGTGTCCAGTCGCAGCGATCGATGGTAGAACAGAAAGAGAGAGAAGGAGCGCTGCTGCTGAAGCCTGGAGGCCAAATGTGGGAAAAGTGTTTCCAACTCCCTCTGTCTGCGCTGAATGCGCTCTCTCTGGTCTCTCTCTGGTCTCCCTCTCTCTCTGGTCCATCTCTCTGGTCTCTCTCTCTCTCTGGTCTCTCTCTCTGGTCTCTCTCTCTGGTCTCCCTCTCTGCGCGCTCTCTGGTGTCTCTTTCTCTCTCTCTCTCTCTCTCTGGTCTTTCTCTCTCTCTGCTCTCTCTCTCTGGTTTCTCTCTCTCTCTGGTCTCTCTCTCTCTGACCTCTTTTTTGTCCCTCTATTTCTCTGGTTTCTCTTTGGTCTTTCTCTCTGGCCTCTTTCTGATTACTCTCTTTGTTCTCATTATCTCTGGTCTCTCTCTCTGTTCTCTATCTGGTTTCTCTGGTTTCTCTCGCTCTAGTATCTCTGCTGAATCTTGAAGCCCAAACATGTAGAGAAGTCTATAAATATTTAATGAAAGTAACTTCAAAGTAATAAAGTATTAGTGTAATACTTTATCGTAGCAGCACAGTACTTTGTAACAGCAGTTACAAGTTTCATATAATAAATTAAGTTTTTGACCATGTGACATGTGAGCCCATGTGACCTGAGACCATGTGACTTGTGATACCATGTGACCTCCCTCTTGGTATCGCCCGCTCTCCTCGGCGCCTGCATCAGCTGCTTTCTGAAATCTGGCTCTGACTTTGATTTGAATTTGCCTGGA